TGAGACAGAGAGAGCTCCTCTAGTAGGAGTTCAACAATTTTTCCTGGATATTTTTATGATTTTACATTACTATTTTGTACTCACTGTTGCTCATCCTTTAGCAAACTGGTAAGTTCCTGCATCCCACAAGCATTTTAATAAAAATTACAAGATGCAAAATCAGGGACTTATGCGTACAATGAGCTATTTTACATTGAGAAATGTTTTCTCAATTTTTTAAATAAAGAAGTGAGCTTTTGGCATAAATGTCATTCAAAACACTTTTGAAAGACATTCATATGACAAATAATGCTTCTTACCCACAAAATATGAACAAAAAATTAAGAAAACTGATGCCTTAAATGATTAGTGATATTATTTTTTCACCATATATTTGTATCCCATTTGAAGTTTCAAAAACACAAACATAAACTCAGAATACAGAAATAGTTCTTTAAATTATAAATTGTTCCTAAAGAAATTAATGTAGTACAGATTGCTAATTCTTGGAAAGTGATTCAATTTCTTGTATCTCTACTATTTTTTTATTGCTTAATATAATCCTGCAGCATAATATGACTTCTCTGCTTTGTGGTTTACTTATAGATAATTTAAAAATGCAGCACATAGCACAATACTGTGTAAATTACATATCGCAGTTAGATAGCATAGTATATGTGAACAATATGACATGTGATAAGTTTGACAAATGCAATATCTCATGGAGCTGCTTCGTAAGTTTAAGTTATCAACAGTTTAGAAAAAATGGTAGGAACTGACACGAACATTTGGGTAAATATCCTTCAAAGATTGCAACTTAAAGTAGTTTTTAAGTACACTCACTACTCAAGAAGAGATTCAGATAAGATGTGCAGCACAGAAATGTGCTGCTAAAACATATTTGGTGAAATAAGCATGAGCAGTGAACTGGACACTGTGAACACATGCGATCAGTGAGTTTTCTATGGGATGAGAGTAATGACCCCAAACTCGAATATGGGTATCAAAGAAGCAGTTTTGACAAAGAATATCCCAAATGAAGCCTCAATCACACATGTGGAGCTGAGTGAGACTGAAGCACTGGAGAGCACAGAACATCATAGAAGTCCTCATGGAGGGGGGACTGAGGACAGAAATCTCAAGACTTCAAGGTGACCTTCAGCCGAAGCTCTAGGTGTCACAGTCCACCTGGGTCAAAATTCTTCAAAACCATCATTGCATGCTAATAATAACGGGATAGCTGGCCCTCATTAGGGTGAGCCTAATACCCCAATTTTACTTTCCTTTGGTTATTATTCTCACATAAATGCCTAAAAGTCAGCCTTATTGCTGTGTCTGTTTTGTGGATGGCAATGCCATGCACCTTGCAGATCGTGGAGGACTAACAATTGCTGGGTGTCATGTATGGTCTGACACGAGTCCCTCCAGGAATCCTAAACCCTCTGGTCTGCTGTGCCTGCTGCTCTGCCTCTCTCAGAGTTCCTGTGCCAGTGAGCGCACTGCACCACTGCTATCTTACACCTGCTATGTACAGCAGGAGAGCAAGGCTCAGGCTTAGCCTCAACCTCACCTGAATCAACAGCTGGTACTGATGAGAAGTGGAGATGGCCGGTGGGAACGAGGGTGAGACAGGGAGGAGAGCCTGGCAGGTTCATTCACAACTTGTTAACTCATCGAAACAGTCGTCATTGAAGAAATGATGTTTATTCTTTTGAGGGCTTTAGAGGTTCGTTATGGTTTTGTGGTATCTCCCATGCAATTGGAAATCTTTGCTTACATCTGCATTCAGGAATTCTTTTACCTGATTTAGAGTTTCAGCTTTAATATTTAGATCTTTATTTATTTTATTGCATGGGAAAACATGGGTCTAGTTTTAGTCTTCAGCACGTGGAGAGCCAGTTTTCCCAGCACCATTTATTAAAGATGCTGTCTTTCCTCCAGTGAACATGATGGGCCCCTTTGTCAAAGATAAGGCAGCCAAATGTGCTTGGAGTTCTTTCTGCATCTTCTAATCTGTTCCACTGACCCTCAAGTCTGTTTTTTTATTTTTTAATTATAGTACATTTGTAGTATAATTTCAAGTCAGATATTTGGATGTCCCCTGCCTTGCCTCTGTTGCCTAGACTTGTACTTTCTATTCTAGGACTCTTGGTTCCAAATGAATTTTAAGAATGTTTTCTCCAGTTCTATGAGGAACACTAATTGTAATTTGACTGAGATTGCATTATATCTGTGTAGCAATTTGGAAGTATGGCCATTTCACTGTGTGAGACCTTCCCAACCATAATAAGGGATATCTTTCCTTTTCAGGGGACAGCAATTTTTGATGTACAGATCTTTTACTTCCTTTGTTATATTGATTCCTAAGTATTTCCTTTTTTTTGATGCTATTGTTAAAGGTGTTATTTCTCCAATTTCTCTCCTAGTGTATTTGCTATTTGTTTACAGAAATGCTCATTTATGAATGTTGATTTTGTAACCAGTTATGTTACTGAATTTGGTTATTAAATACAGAAGGTTTTTGGTGAAGTTTTTGGTGTCTTCTATGTAGAGTATCATGTCATCTGCAAATAATGATAATTTAGCTATTTGTTTACCTATTCTTATTTGTTTTATTTCTTTTTCTTTTCTAAACGCTCCAGGTAATGTTTCCAAATATACATATACAACTATATATCTTGTTCCTGATTTTAGTGTGAAAACTTTCTTTTTTTGATCTTTCAGTATGATGCTGGCTGTTGGTTTGTCACACATGGCTTTTATCATACTGAGATAAAGTTCATCTATTCCAGTTTTCTGTAGGATTTTTATTATAAATAGCTGTTGGACTTTGTCAAATGCTTTTTCTGCATCTGAGAGACTTCCCTAGGAAATTTTTATTCCTCAGAGATGTCATCTAGGTATAGGTGATTCTCCATCTTTGGGTCTAGCCAAGAACCTGCCTTCTCAATTTATTAAGGAGGAAAAATTGCTCTCTGTTTGGCTCAGTACTAAGTCCTTTGGTACTGGACTATGGCGATGGTTACTAGTCCAAGCAGTCACAGTGTTGTCATACGATGGAGGAAAACTGATTGGAATGTGTATGACATCCTGGCTAAAGAATATAACTAGCAGTAACAATAGAACCAAGCACAGCCTTGCAACCGACAAACTGTGATGACTATTAATTTGCTACATTTAATCATAGGAGCAGCCTCATAGTTATATAAGAAAATCTAACATATATCAGGAACTTGTACTAATAGTTTCCACTAGGAGAATGATTTTATCCTGGGAGGGGATTTAAGAAGGGCAGGGGATAAAACAGAGAGATGAATGAGGAGAAATAGAGTGGAAAGAACTCTGTAGAGGAAGGATGATCACCCAGATTTTGGGAAACTGGAGAAAAGTATAGGAGAAAAAGAATGAGAGAATGCAAAAGCTATTGAAGCAAGCAGAGTGAGACAATGTTCATTCAAGTGAAAATGTCATAAAATCAAGAGAGATCATTGAGGAAGGGAGAAAGGCGCATAGTACAAAAGAAAACTAAAAGTAACAAACCTAAATAGAAAAAACCCTCAACTGCATAGAAAAAAGAAAACCATTCTAACAACAACAACAAAAAAATAACAAAATTCCTCTGGTGTTCACAGTTCTGTGGTAGTGTCCAAATTGGATCCCAGAAATGTGTTAACCCCCCAAGTGTGCAGTAGGATTTGCACTGGGTGAGGGACTGATCTCAGCCTCTGAATGTGGGCATTGGGATTTGTTTTCGGCTGATAACGTTCTGGACGTCCACTTCTTACCGTGACTGTATGTACAGCACTCTCCCAGTTCCCCTGGAGCCCTCTGGGAAAGCTCAGGGCAACTCCCAGCCCCAGATACAGTTGGCTCCTTCTAGACTTCACACAGCTTCTTCTGTTCTGCACCACTGACCTCTGTCACGTGCTGACCACAGGGCCAGGAAAGTGTCCTTGTCCTGCTGTAGGGGCAGGTTGTTTGCCTGCTTGTTCCATTGGCCCAAGGTTGCTCAGCTGGTCATAGATGAGAGGGATGCATCTAGTCCATTGTATTTAGGACTAAGACCAGCTTTGCTGGCCTCAGAGAGGAATCTAAGTGTCTCAGCAGAATTGCCCATCTGCTTCCTCACTGCTAGCAGTTTACTGTGACTGGATGGCTCTTCCACTCCAGGACTTTGGCAGTCAAGTGACCAGGGACCATTCTGCTGCTGGAGCTCACCCCGGTCCCTTTGAAATACAATCTTAGTTCCCAGTGTCTGCTTTTGTTCTGCATGCATGTGTGCTGGCACACAGTGCCAGGTCACCTCCCTCACCAACCTGTTATTTGCAAGGCCCCTCAGGAAACAATGGCTGAATAACCTCCTGCAGCTTCTTACGTTTTCCTGTCACCACACCGGTACCCCAAGCCACTGTGCCAATCTGCTGGTCCATTGCATCAATCCACCACACCCTCGAGTTCTCTTAAGATCCTTCGAATTAGGAGCCACTTAGAATCGGATAAATTTTAGCATGGTACACAGTAGAGACTACCGTTTAATATCTGTACCAATATGAATGAATCACTCAACCTGTTGTGATCCGTAATTTCCATCAATGTGGCAACAAAAAGCTGGAAAACACTGAATGGAAATCTTAGGTGTCAATTTTTGCTGTCTTATTTATTTCAGCATCCTACATTATTTGAGAAATGACCGGTTTGTAATTGTTAGTTTTTACTGTAATTTGTAGGAGGAAATATACTGATAGTGGCATCTACAAAGTCTTCTGCATTGCCAAACTATTTATATCTCTATAAATTTATAATGTTTAAAATTACTTAGATGATGGGTTACAGTTCTTAAGAACTGAAAGAATGTAAATATTCACACAATTAATAGAATCAGTTTGGTTTTCAAGGAAATAATTACTCTGGAGAATTTTCCAGAATACATATGGCACTTTATGATTTCAGTTCAGTTTCTTTAGGCCTCTGTCTCTTCCTTATCTTTGCTACAGAATAGTTAGAGCTTCTGGGAAGCCCTGATGGAGAACAGAACAGGGGTGACAGAGTTCCTCCTGCTGGGACTGACTGATGATCCACACTTGCAGCTTCCCCTCTTCCTCACCTTCTTCCTCATCTACACCATCACTGTGGCTGGGAACCTGGGGATGATCCTGCTCATCCTCCTGGACTCTCGTCTGCACAGCCCAATGTACTTTTTCCTTGGTCACCTGTCCCTGGTGGATTTCTGTTCCTCCTCAGTTGTCACTCCAACAGTCATGGCTGGACTACTTACAGGAAATAAGGTCATTTCCTACAATGCCTGTGTTGCTCAGATGTTCCTATTTGCAGTTTTCATTTGTGTTGAAAATTATCTCTTTGCTGTAATGGCCTATGACCGCTATGCTGCAGTATGCAAGCCCCTGCACTACACCACCATCATGACCACCAAGGTGTGTGTAGGTCTTGTCCTAGGCTGCTATATCTGCTCACTCCTGAATGCCTGCATCCAAATTGGGGACACATTCAGCCTCTCCTTTTGCAACTACAATTTGGTGCATCACTTTTTCTGTGATATTCCAGCACTCATGGTTCTGTCCTGCTCTGACAAGCATGTTAGTGAACTGGTTCTTGTTTATCTTGTGAGCTTCCATATCTTTTTTGCCTTCTTGGTTATTTCAGCATCCTACATCTTCATTTTTGGCACCATCCTAAGGATGCACTCAGATACAGGTTATAGGAAGGCTCTGTCCACCTGTGCCTCCCACTTCACTGCTGTCTCCATCTTCTACGGGACTAATATCTTCATGTACTTACGGCCCACATCCAGTTACTCCATGGACACTGATAAAATTTCCTCTGTGTTCTATACAATAGTCATTCCCATGCTGAACCCCATGGTCTACAGCCTGAGGAACAAGGAGGTCCATAATGCATTCTTAAAAATCAAGCATTTGTTCATTTTATCAAAGCTAAATAAGATATAGAACTTTGCTTGGAACTTTATAGAATGCACCATCCCTACTGCTTTAGATACTTCTTCTGATCCTTGCCGGGTGCTGAGTTACATTTTGAAGGCCACATTGACAATAATACTCTCACTTGTATAAAAGTTTTTTGGCATGAAAAAAATACTGTGTCTGAATTAAATACAGAGTTAGAATGGTTACGATATCTTGGGTTTTGATGTCTGCACCCTTTTTAAGGATATTGATGTATGTGTGCATAGTAGAGGTATTTATTATCATACCTCATGTTAATATAAATATACACATGACAGGTCAAACGTATCCATAAAGAGAAAAAAATGTCTTCATGATGACAAATGAATTTGTACATTTTGCCAGACTTGAATAAAATGTGTTAATGTGGCAGTTGCTTTTATGTATTTATTTGACTGTATTAAGATATTTGCTAGCTAAGAGATGACCAGAAAATAATGCTATCCTGTGTCTGTTATTTTTGTCTGTAATATGTGTCCGTAATTTTGTTTCCAGAAGAGCCTCGCTGAAGTAGAAGAAAGATCTGTCCTCTTCATTGTCTAAGTCATTTATTTTTCTCTTGCTCTCTCTCTCTGATCTTTTGGACAGCCTCTTCTGACACTCAGAGACATCATTTAATGGTCTGTTCCTCATCTTTGCCCTCTGGCCTCTAATACACCAGTAAAAAGTCCCCTCCTTTGTCTCAGGTTTTTGTGTTAGACTCATGGAGTCCCTGCCACCATTGTTTTAAGGATTGACAATAAAACGTAAGTGTACTTTACAAACTTCCTGTCATGTACAAGGAAGCCCTTAACAAATACCCTCTTACACACTTGTATGTGTTCTGTTGAGTCTTTTCACTTGAAGTGCCTTATTAAAACATACTCATTTAAAAGTTGTAACTTTGATTTGTGTTAGACAGTACAATTTTTGGTAAGAGTTTTATTTTTGATAATTGTATTAGTGTCTTATTTGATAAAGTATGATACATTATAAAATGAAAGTTTCTCTTTCTGTATTCGAATGAGCAATTTATAAATCTTGAATCTTACATGAATTAATATGTATTTTTTACTATGTTATTTGATACATCTGACATGTTAAGTTTCTAATTTTCAAAACAATAAACTGGAACAAGAAAACCCAGGAAGTATAGTGATCTTTTAAGTATATTCATATATTGCTATATCCAGTTTAAAAATTAAATCTAGAAACCAATATAGTATTGTATATTTTTCTGCAAATGCTTCAAAGTGTAATGCTTACCATTATTTTCTACTTTTGTTTAGTGGCATTCTCCCTTCCCTTCTCCTGTCCTTTTTTCTCTTTTTATTTTATTTTATCGGTACCAGGGATTGAACTCATGACTACCTGTTTGCAAGGCAGGTGCTTATGCTGCTGAGCTAAATCCCCAGCCCCGTCCTGTCCTTTTTTGCTCTTCTTTTGTATTGAGTTTTTTTTGCCATTGCTTCATGAACCCTACCACTCTCATTCCTCAAGCTCCTTGCACTCACTATTCCTCGTTGCATTCAGAGCTCTGACTCAATTGAATCGCACCATGGAGTCCTTCTCTGACCACATTCATCAGCTAGACATCCAGTCATCAAGTTTATTGTCCCTACCATGATGGCTTGTGTCTGTTTGTCCTCCTAAAGACCCATGCAGTCATAAGTGGGTCTTCTCAGAGGTGGCTGGATCTGGGGTATGTGATTCTGAGATCCTGGATATGATGGTGGGATTGATTCATGGTGTAATGCTAGAATGAGGCTTCGCCACTCTGAGTGTGAGTGTTACCTGCTTTAAGGGTGGGTAGCCTACACAACGTATAGTGTACACAAAGAACACTGTTGTTTGTTCATTGTTTGCTGCTTCACTAGATTACTGCCTTCTTTCAGTCATGAACTGTTTCTCTTTGTGATGCCCCTCTGCCTTGGGTCCTGCTATGAACTAAATTTCTATAATGAGCTACAGTAAACCTTTCTTCCATTAACTTTGGGTATTGAATATTTTGTCTCAGCAATGAGAAAAGTAACTAATACAGAATTTTGTGTCATTATTTTTACTATTTTTCCACTTTAAAATAAAATAACAAAAAAGCATTTGGTTCTGAGAGTGGGGTTATTGCTCTGAATATACTTGACAATGTGGTCCAGCCTTTGTAACTAGCTTACTGGCACGGCTTGGAAAGATTTGGAGATGCTGAATGAAGAAGCAGCTCTAGGATGCCTTAAGCTGTACTCAGTGGGAGATTCTTGTCAGAGTTCAGAAGACAAGAAGTCTGATAGAAATGCTGCCAGTAAAGAGCATGCTAAGGAAATTTCTACTTGGAAGTACTTCACTGGTTGTTGCACTACAGACTGTCTGGGTCATACATTAGCAGACCATTTTTCTGCATTTTTCTGGTGTCCAGAGAGTTTAGCTAAGACTGAAATAAAGAGCAATGGCCTAAGTAATCTTGCAGAAATAATTTCAGGGAAGTCTAATGCTGGGCCAGTGGCATGGCTAATGTAAGGGGCATTAGTCAGATCTATGTTGAGAATCAAAAGTGAAAACTCCAACAGAATGATTTAAAACACTAGAAACTTGGATAAAAAAGAAGATCCAGGAAATCTATGGACTGTAAAGATAGAGTAGGGGACAATGTACTTGCTGAGAGATAACAGAACAGTGGGAATGGTGGCCAGAGGACATCACAGGAACTAGCACGATTCCAGCCTTTTCAGCATCGAGGTTGCAAAGTCAATAGAATTTGCTTTGTAAAGGGAGTTCTAAAACCTTGCTCCAGAATGGCAGCAACCTAGGGAAATTGTTTCTTGGGATTTGTCTCATTAGGCACTTGACCCCTACAGCCGAGAGAGAAGAAAGCCTGGCTACTGCCCCAGCTGGCCCCAGATCTTGCCAACATCCACATGCTGCTGACTTTACATGCATGCAAAATGCAGAGCTGTGGGATCAGGAAGGCTTTCACCAAGATTTCAAAAAAGGACTGGTAAGCCAGGTAGTGTGTGATGCTGTGAGTGTGAAGTCAAAGATGCAGAGGAGACCCCAGATATTTGGAGAATCCAGGAGGAAAATTGCAAGGAGGAAGCAGAGCTGGACCAAGAGAGAAGTCCTCTGAGTTACAAACCAACAGTGCCATGAGCTTGGATTCATCCCAAACTCTTTGGAATTCACTATATGTCACAGATTGCCTCAGATGTTGAACCTAGAACTACAGGACTTAATGTCTGTTCTGCTGGATTTCAGACTTGCTTTAGTCCTGCTTTTTTCTATCCCCCTATTTGTACTTTATTTAGTGGTAATGGTTATCTTGTGCTATTACATGTTGGAAGTGTTTAACTATTTTCATTTCTATAGGAGCTCACAGTTAAGAGTTTGATTTCAATCTCAGGAGACACTGGACTTGGACTTTACAGCAATGCTGAAACTGTCAGAACTTTGGCAACTCTTCCAGATGGACCAAATGCCTTTTCCATAAAGGGTGGGCATGGGTAACCAAGGGAAAAGTGTTATGCTTTTGTACCTAGGTGTCCCTCAAAGATTCATATGGTTGTAGAGGAAATTTCCAGAGGTGGCTTGGTTTAGAATGTGTAATGCTGAGATTAAGGGTGTGTAATTGCTAAATTAGTCCATTGGTTGGTTTGATGAAATTTAGAGTGTAGAGGATTCAAAGGCCCACCTTGGGTCTGAGTACTATCTGCCCCAAGGGTGTAATATTCTGGTTATAACACAAAAGATATAAGGAGGACTGCTATGGTCACTTGTAGCTTTCTTCCTTGTAGCCTTGTTGTCTTCTTCCTGCCATGAACTATTTGTCCTGTGATGCTCCTCTGCAATGCCATCCTGCCTTTGAGCTGAATGAATATGAACTGAAATATCTGCAAGCTATGAATGAAATAAACCTTTCTTCCTTTAACTTTGGGTGTTGTTCTCAGCAAAGAGTAAAGAAATCAAATGCAAATGAATTAGATACACAAGCTTAAATACCACGTTCTCTCTCATGTGAGTAAGGCAAAGTGCAAACAAAAAGCATCGTAAAGGATCCCTAGAAGTAACTGAGGGGATTTATCCCTCACCAGAGAACTACGGGTGAAGAGAGTGGGAAAGGAAGTGAAAGTTGAAGGAGTAAGATACGCCATGTACAGGAACCCAAACACCTCAATTAATGAAAACATTATATGTCACAAACATGAGCTAAGAAAAATAATAGCAGAATTAATGAAAATGAGAAAAGATGATTGAGACACAGAGGGAGAGAGGTGGTGGGAATTAAAAAAGAGATAAGCTTCATTATGTTTGTGGATCTAATAGATGAAAGTAAACCTCATGTGCTATAAACATGTACTAAGAAAATAACATTCAATTTTAATTAAAAAATAATTTAATTTGAATTAGCATTTAACATTTAATTCATATTTGACCTTTGGAGTCCTGATTGATAGTAGTAATTGCATTACACTTTGTATATATGTCATGTAAAAATTTTTGTGAAAATTGTCTATGGGTGATTAACTATCATTTTATCACTTTTGTTACAGAACAGAAGCTCAAGATTAAAGCAGATACAAGTCCTATGTAAATATGAAGTGAAGCAACTTTGATGTATGGAACAAATATTTAAACATGATATTTCAAAGCAAAGATGGCAGATAGATAAGAGCTGGCTACAGAGGCTTCCTGAGATAGTCAACTTAGAATGCAGCATGGGGAGTCCCAAACAGAGGAAGATAAATTCTCTCATCCCAAGAAGACACTAACGTGAGAAGAACCAATCAAACATACAGTCCTGGTGCTACTATTGGAACAGCTAAAGGTTCAAGTGCTCCTGCTGCAGCTCCCGAACCCGAGTGGTGGCAACTTACTGAGCAGTCCAAAATCTCGTTGCTTCGACTCACTGGAAATGCACTTGCACTGAGGACAGGGTTCAGCAAGCCGAACAGAGAGCTGAGCTAGTAGGAAACCTGCATCGACCTGTGATGAGTGACGGGAATAAAACCATTCCACAG